AATTGGCTGGGCTGCGCTATGAATTCTACACCTGACCCATCCTGTAAATCTGGGGAAATGAACGACGCATTTGTCAGCCGCATTTGGAGCAGCCTAAGAATTGGGAGAGCCTTCATCGCCGGGCTGTGATGTAATCGGCCTTCAAATGCAGCCCCTGAATTGTGACACTTGTGTGTCCATGTTCAGTTTTGCTTCCCCTGTATTGTTATGCCTGATTTATCCCTCCTGTGCTCCCATGTGTCACCACTCTCCCTAATCCCCCTTGTGTGTATATATATTGTGTGAGTTTCCACCTTATCCCTTGTTAGGTTGCCTGTTCTTCACCCCTTGTGTCTCTCAGGTGCCATGTTCTTTAATGTTTTCCCAGTTTAGGTTAGTTATTGCATTTTGGTTTTTTTAAATTTGTACTTCAAAGTTCTGCCCAATAAGCAGCTCGCCTTTTGTTACACCAGTTCCTATTTTCCTGTGTTGTCTGTGCCTGGGTCCTCTCTCTGCCTCATAAACGTCTGCAGCAGTAACAGTGGTCCATATAAGACTGAGGAAGGATGTTTTTCTCTAGTTTAAAAACTCGTAGTGACATGTTTTCATAGCATTTTATTGTTCGTTTTACTAAATGAATGATAAAAAAAAATCATCCACCTTACAATGATTCTACAACCAGGAGGAATGTGCAGAATGTGACCCAGTTCATCTTGTTAGTTAGTTTTATTTTATTTATGTATGTATTTATTTTGTGTTTCGTTTTTGGAGTGGTATTGTGAGGTGGGAGCTTGTTGACTCTCCTTGCCTTTTTTGTAAATGCTACCACAAACTGCTGGTTACATTTATAGATTTATGTGTGGTTCAGTAGGAAGAGGTTCACTATTAATATCCATATTTACAGAACATTGTATTGTTTTGTGTTGCTGCCTTTTGATTATTTGTGCAGGTCTGTCAGTGGTTTGTATCACTGTGTGCATACGTGCACAGTAATAAACAGCTGTGTCCTCAGGCTGCAGATTCTGTCCTGTTATTGTCACTGTTTGAGCAGAAGTGTCTCTGCTCATGCTGAACTTGTTCTTTAAAGCATCATTTTTGCTTGTGCTCCCATCATACCACATGGTAAAAATCCAATCCATTTGTTTTCCATCCCGCTGTCTGATCCAGTTTGTTGCATAGCTGCTAGAAGTTAAAGAATAACCAGAGACTCGACAGGTGATGGTCAAAGACTGTCCAGGCTGCACAATCACTGAATCTGGCTGTATGAGATCAATACCGTACACACCTGTGGAGACAGAAATCAGCATTTAAACCATTATTCATTTAACTGTTTAGCATTTCTATTGTATTTAGTGTTGTGAATTCAAGAAATCTTCTCAGGATGCAGCAGCCAGCAGCAGGATCAGAGCCACTGAGAACATGGTTGATGATGAAGCTGAACTCATCTCTGCAGTCTCACTGGAGCAGTCACAGGCTTAATTATGAGGAAGTTCGTGGTGGTCATTTAAATAAAGGGGCTTTGCATTTACATTTGAAAAATTCAATGTGAAGATTAAGTGACTGGTGAAAAATTGGAAATATGTGTATGTTCTGTATTTTTTTGTTATTTTTTTATGTGATACATTTTCTCTTGTGTTTTTTAACTTGGCTTCTCATTTTCACTCTCATTAATTCTAAAAAAAGAGCACTGATGTTCTTGCAAATTTCAGATCCTTTTTTTTTTTTTGCCATCTGAGGAGTGAGCCCCAAATGATTCCCACATAAGACAAACAAATTAATTATGCCACCACAGTGGTTTATTACGTGTGATGCTTACATGATCACCTTCATGATGACATTAGGTCAAACAAGAATGCAGGATATAGCTCAGGGAATATGAACAAGTCACAAGAATTGCCAGAGACACACTAGACTGCGAACGTCCAAGTATAGGTTTCCATAAAAATAGGTACAAAAGTAAACAGACTGTGTAGACACCTGAAATAAAGGCTCTTGTTTCTTATATCAAAGCAAACATGGCAGTTTCAGGTGCTTCTTAAACATTGCCTGGACATCGTTAGACTTTTTAAAAAAGATTAGAAAACTAACAGTCTAATCCTTTATTAATGCTTTGTTCTTTATTCACAATTGCATAAATATAAAATTCTTCCATCATGTAAATGGCTAAAACATTCAACAGCAAGTATAACATGTTGCGTGATGTCTCAAGCAAAAAAGATTTCAAAGCACTGAGTAAAGCTGTGTTTAACTTTTTTTCTTTTTTACTTAAAGGAAAATAAGCAAAACTAAATAAAGAAAAGTGCCATGAGAAAGTAATATAGACCACTCAAATGATGAAAACACAAACTTTTGGATTCACTGCTAATCTAAAAAAGCCAATTGACAGTAGTATCAGTATCATTAAATATTATTAGTATTAGTATAAATAATATTAGTATTTATCATATCAGTGCAAACTATATAGCTCGTCTCATTAAGAGCAAACCTGTCTTGAACGCATCAGCAATAAGAAAGCTCCTACTGCCGTGGTGTTCTCATTGACCAGACTGTTTAGACTCTGAAAGGTTTTTGTACACATCTGTTGGTTTTCTGACTGTGTTTACCTGGTACAGTAATACACAGCAGTGTATTCATGCTGCAATTCACTGTGCTGCTGGAAGAATCAGATGCAGATTAAGAATAAATTGTAATCAAATAAAGTTCCCACATATCTTCAGAAAAGACAATTTCTGTAAAACACCTGTAAAACTGAAAATAACTTTTAGTCTTTTAAGACAAGCTATAACTTTAGGAAGACATTTCTATTGTGTTTAGTAGTGTGAATCTGAACTGATGTCAGGTTTTCTGTGCTCTTAATGATGCAGTCACACACAAGGTACAACCTGTACAGGTCACTAACACACACATTATCAATTATCCCAATCCTGGAATACTGCAGCAGAACCCATGCTGGCACAGGGCGATCATGCAAACTCCACACATAAGAGTCCAGGCTAATTAGCGTATTCTATATGCTGTATTTTACATGCTTTTATTCATTGTAATGTTACCACATGACAACAACCGAAATTCAAATCACTGAGATCAGATTGTTTTTGTCTTATTCCAGTGTTTGACAGTATTTATGTGACAATATTTGATACCCTGAATGAAAACATATTGGGAATAAAATAAACACCACAAAATAAGTCAGTAGTATTTCACAAGTTATGTTATTATTGAACTTTGATTTTGATGTTATTTAACTTTTCTAGTCTTTTGGTTTCTTTGTTAGAGTTCTGGGCCCTGTTCCAGGAAGCCGGTTTAGTGGAAAAACTGAGTAAGTATACCCTGAGTTAACGAAAACTCTGGGTCTTCGGTTTCACAAAGCGAGTTCAGCTGCAGCCTGAGTGAGTCACTATGACGACACACGCCGTGAAGCTAACCTGCCCCCTAGCAGGTTTACTACAACTAACCCTGACTGTCTCCGCCCCTTTGTCGGAAACCTGACAGTAGGAAGTGTCAGACATGGCGTGTCCCTTCCTTGAAGAGCCAGTAGATGTTGAAGCCCAAATTCTCCGCAGAGCTCTCCGCCGGGAGAGAGTGATTAGAGCGCGTTTGGACATTTTATCATTTCCTGATGATTTTCTGTGCGAACGTTACCGTTTCTCAGCACAATCTATAAGTTATTTGATAACATCCTCAGGCCATATATTACGCATGTGACACATCGCGGACATGCTCTCAGTTCATTACATATTATTTGTATTGCACTTCGGTTTTTTGCAAACGGGAGCTTTCTGTATAATATTGGTGACGCTGAGCACGTTTCCAAGGCTACCGTCTGTCGGGCAGTCAGGAATGTTACAGTTGCACTGAAACGTCTCCTGTACTCGTTTGTGGTGTTCCCCGGTCATAGACCCACAAGATTTATCAAAGAGGGATGCCACAAAATTGCAGGTATCAGGATGAACAAAACTTAATTCATGATGTGGTGATACTTGAACTACTACTTAAATTTTACATTTATTTTCACGGTTCCCAGGCGTGATTGGCTGTATAGATGGCACTCACATTCCAATCATTGCTCCTTCAGTAAATGAAGGAGACTATGTGAACAGGAAGTCTTTCCACAGCATTAATGTACAGGTACATAGTTCCCTGTAGCATTTCAAACTAACAAATTATTTCATTATAGTAATGGATGCTAATTTGTGTTCTCTGCACTGTGAAGATCATATGTGATGCTGCCAACATTATCACAAATGTGGAAGCCAAGCGGCCAGGCTCTGTCCATGACTCACAAATATTCCGTGAATGTACACTGAGCACAAAATTTGGACATGGTGAGTTGAGAATACTTTAAAATATATAAAGACCAATTGCTTCAGGGACATTTGAACTGAAGTGTATCCTTCTGTCTTAGGAGAGTTCACTGGCTACTTGCTTGGTGATAGGGGGTATCCATGTTTACCCTATTTGCTTACCCCTTACCCTGACCCTGAACCGGGCCCACAGCAGCGATATAATCTGGCTAATTGCAGGACAAGAGCCAGAATTGAAATGACTATCGGAATGCTTAAGGCCCGGTTCCAGTGCCTGCAAAGACTCAGGGTCACCCCAGAAAGGGCATGTGACATTATTGTGGCATGTGTGATTCTTCACAACATTGCCACAATTAGAGGAGAACACTGTCCTTCTGAACCAAACATCAGCAGTGATCCAAACCATGAACATCCTGACCCTCCCACGGACATACAAGATGGAAGCGCAGTCAGAGACACCATATGTCACAATCATTTCTTTTGACCCATCACCTCAACATGTTGAAAGAAGAATAAACAGGTTTTTATGTTCAACTGGCTTTATTGGTCGCCTGTGTTTCCTGTACACAAAGTATTAAAAGATGTAAACCTCATAAAGTGTCTCTGTTGCTTCCTCCTCTGTAACAGCTGTCAATGTTTCTTCATTATTTTCCTGTAGTAAAGAAATAAACAACATTGCTGTTCTACTGTAAACTCATATAATCTGTGGAGTATTACTCACAACTGCATGTTGGTCTGGCTCAACAGGAGGCTGCACCAGATGCAGTACACCACCACCATCAACTGATAGAATATGAGGTTTATACAGGTCACTTATAACTTACAAGGGACCAAATGGCAATTAACAAACATACCAATCACCTTACACTTCATTGTCATTATGCTCTCAAAGACAACCAAGACTGAGGGAAGGCAAAATCAGTAGGAAAATAACTTCACTACAAAATAATCCATTATGGTAAAGAGTTTATCAAATGAATGAGCAGCACTGCAAAGGTGACTGTGAAGAAAGGATGTATGCACATCATGTATTATTTTGAATTTACCCCCTATGTAGGCACTTGTGTCTTGCGGGGTTATTGACTCAGAGGATGTCCCCGCAGAGATGCCTTCGGCCACAGGGCGCCCACTGTTTTGGCTGAGGGCCAACTGCTCAGCCTCTGTGAGTGGTGGTGGTGGAGGACCCCCACCTGTTTTTCGGGCCTCCGCTTTTTTTCTGTTGGCTATAACGGGTCACATTTGAGCATACAGAGTAAGCAAATATGTACTTGTAATGTGCTCAGATAATTTCAATAAGTGCTTACAGAAAGAAAATTAATGTAGCCTCTAACTGCAATTGATTTACAGACCAAGCACTATGGCTCATAATACAATTACACCTCACCTGTTTGGACTATATTTTTATATTTCATTTTTACTTGCTGCCAGGAACGTTTGGGGCCTGTTGGGTTGCACCTGCGCTCACATCACATCACAAAATAAAATGTATAAAATAACAAATAAAATAACATATGATAAAATAACGTGTTAAATGGGTGGAAATCCCTAGATCAATGTTTATATTAACACTCACGCATTGACTCTGTCGGCTATGTTTTGCCATGCATGCTCCTTTTCGCAGCTGTGGCTGTGTTACTTTTTTCCGCGGAATTTGCATGTTATCGGCATATGCTGCCATCAGAATTTCGGCCTCAAGCGCTGTAAAATACATTGACCGCGCCTTCTTTCCCTCCGTCTCCATGGTGACTCGCTTAATCTGTGCTCCGCTTATCAGGGCTTTATGTATCCTCGTCCGCGCGCTTCACTTGGGGTTAAAGCAACTCCGCGTTGATTGAACTAATTGTTATCAGCCTTTCTGAAACCGAATATTCCGAGTTGGACAGTTCGGGGTTACTCAACCCTGCGTATCGTTTTTCACTCTGAGTTTTCTAAACCGGCTTCCTGGAACAGGGCCCTGGTGTCTGTCTGTGTCCTTAGTTTGTCTGTCTCCGCTGTATCCCTTGTCAAGTCTCATCTCTGTGTTATGTTTCCTGTTTTACTTTGAAGTCTGTGTCTCAGGTTATTGTATCAGGTTTTGCTTCCCCTGTCTCATTAGCCCTGATTTGCCCCAGCTGTGTTTCCCTTCTGTGTCTCGTTCCCTGATTGCTCCCTCTGTGTATTTAAGCCCTGTGTTTTTCTTTGTCTGTGTTGTGATCTACTGTTTTATCCTGCTGTGTGTTCTGCCTGTCAGCCTGTTTAGTTTTTGTAGTTTTCTGTTTTGTTTTTTTGTTGTGTTTTACAATAAATGTCAGTCTGAGTTTACCTTCCACTTCCATGAGCCTGCACTTTGGGTCCTCTCTTGCCAGCACACGGCTTACATATAACAGGTAGTACAAACAAAAAGTTAAACTGAACCATATGAGCGACTCAAAATAAGTACAATAATGCAAGAAACCTGTAGTAATCAGGAGATAGTATTGGATTTTGTACAGCTGCTCAAAGAACTTGAGTCACTGTGTTTGTCGAGCACAATAATAAACAGCAGAATCTTCAGTCTTCAGACTGTTCATCTGCAGATACAGCTGCTGTCTGTTGTTGTCTTTGGAGATGGTAAAACGGCCTTGGACTGACTGAGAGTAGTAAGTTGCTACCAACTCCAGATGAGCAATCCACTCCAGTCCTTTTCCAGGAGCCTGTCTGATCCAGCCATAGTAGCTGCTGAATGTGAATCCAGAGGCTGTACAGGTCAGTCTGTGGGATTCTCCTGGTCTTTTAACCTGGTTCAGACTTGTCAGAGTCTGACCATCAACACCTGTCAACAGAAATAAACAGGACAATAAAAAATAATTTATTTTTAAGCTAGAATATCATGAGAACATGTAATTAGTTTTTGAGTTCTACCTGCACAGCAGACAGTCAAAAGTAGCAATACTGTCCTACAGCCCATCTTGTTTAACTCTGTCTGTTCATTTTCAGCAGGCAGATAAGTAGAGGTGAAGACATCTAAACATTTGCATTGACTCCACCTACAAAGTAGGAGAACAGAAGTAGGAGAAGTGATTAATCATTAAAAAGCTTTTACTCATATTCACGTGAATTCAAATTCCAAAAAAATAACACATGTTTTATTGCCACCTTTACAAAATTTATAAAATTTTAAGTGTGAACAGCTAATAGCTGTTTAGGAAAAATGTTGCAAAAATACTACTTCATACCTGTCAAGCTGTTATTTTTTGCATTTTTCAAAGATGTAACTAATGAAATTGCACAAATAATGTGTTTATGCAACAGACTGGTAGTAAGAAAGTGCCTAAAACCCTAAAAAGTTAATTCTGTTAGTCTGGATGTTGTGTTTTCAATGGGGGGAACTCGTCCAAGTGACTTCTTTAGTCTCAGCTGAGTGCAGGTTTTCCCAACCTTGTAAACAGTGCATTTGCACAATGACTGAAACTAGCACCACTTATCAACAATGGGCTGAGAGGTTAATTCCATGTTTAGTAACACATTGTCATTAACGCTGATCACAAAGAGTTGGGGAGTGGTTTGAATCACAGCATTGTAAGATGCTGGGATTGCATAGATGATCTTTCATGTTTTTACATAAATGGCTTCCCTGACTCCTCGCTCAAACCAGTGTTCCTTCTTGTCCAGGATGTGTGCATTCTCATCACTGAAAGAGTGACCACCGGCCTGTAGGTGTAAATAGGCTGGCCTGCCGAGTTAGCCCTTCTGTGTTGTGTCATCTTCTTGCTAGAGGTTGTTTGGTGTCCACAATCTGTAAATAATGGCAATTCTCCTGGCACTTAACAGCATATACTACATACAGTACAAACTGTATATAAACCATTTAAAATTGGTTTGTAACTAATTGTTGATAGTCTGTTTATCTATAGACACAAAACTGGCTCCCGTGTGGGAGGATGCTTTTGATAAGTGGTGAATGTTAATTGGCTGAACCAAAAAACCCCAAAGAAAATCATCTGGAAATGGTTAGGTAAAGAACCACCTTAAGAAAGACTGGAGAACTATTGCTAAAGAGCACTTTAAAAATACAAGAAAGTCTGACTCCCTGGAAAGAGGTGACTCAAGACTTTTGCATAGTACTGTAAATGTATTTCTTTGATTAGAAATTTTTAATGTCAATGAGTCTTTTTAACTCGATAAATACAGGAGATTTGAAAGTCACTTTGCATGGTAAAAAATTGCAGCGACTTCCTTGTGACAGGAATATTTTTTGTGGCTTAAGAAGACTTGATATCATATATGACGAATACATTTGACATATATTTCACATATTATAGGCCAACAAATTATTTACAGCAGTTAGCAATAAGCAATAAGCATATTGTGACAGTCAGTCTATTTTTATATACTGCTTATTAGGACACTCTTCTTTTCTTTTTAATTTAACATGCACTTGGGAGGATTTTGTACAGCTGTTTAACTACTTCCTGTCACTGTGAGTCTCGAGCACAGTAATAAACAGCAGAGTCTTCAGTCTTCAGACTGTTCATCTGCAGATACAGCTGCTGTTTGCTGTTGTCTCTGGAGATGGTGAACCGGCCTCGAAATGACTGAGAATAGTAGATGTTGCTACTGTCATAATTGCTTGCAATCCACTCCAGTCCTTTTCCAGGAGCCTGTCTGACCCAGTGCATCCAGTAGTCTGCTGAATGTGAATCCAGAGGCTGTACAGGTCAGTGTGTGAGATTCTCCAGGCCTTTTAACTGCTGGATCAGACTCAGTCAGAGTCTGACCATCAACACCTGTAAATCAAAAAGACAAATAACTTTTACAACACAAGTTGTTATTTTTCAAGGCAAAACAACTAATTATGAGTGAAAATCTTCACCTGCCCAGCAGAGA